CAGGCGGCCCAGGCCACCCCCGCCCCCCAGTACCCCCAGTACACCCGGGAGGAAGTGGGGCGACACCGCTCCCCCCGGGACCGCGTCTGGGTGACCCACGGCACCGAGGTCTTCGACGTCACCGATTTCGTGGAGCTGCACCCCGGGGGGGCCGAAAAGCTGATGATGGCGGCCGGGGGGGCCCTGGAACCCTTTTGGGCCCTTTACGCCGTCCACAACCAACCCCACGTCCTGGAGCTGCTGCGGGAGTACAAAGTGGGGGAGCTGAGCCCCGAGGAGGGGGCGCCGACCCCCCCCGACTCCCAGGACCCCTTCGCCGGGGACCCCCCCCGGCACCCGGGGCTGCGCGTCAACAGCCAGAAGCCCTTCAACGCCGAACCCCCGGCCGAGCTGCTGGGCGAGCGCTTCCTGACCCCCAACGAGCTCTTCTTCACCCGTAACCACCTCCCGGTGCCGGCGGTGGATCCCGGTACCTACCGGTTACGGGTGGAAGGGCCGGGGGGTCGTGGGGGGATCTCGCTGTCGTTGGCCGAGCTGCGCAGCCGTTTCCCCAAACACGAGGTGACGGCCACGCTGCAGTGCGCCGGCAACCGCCGCACCGAGATGAGCAGCGTCCGCCCCGTCAAAGGGCTCTCCTGGGACATCGGGGCCATCGGGACGGCGCGGTGGGGGGGCGTCCGGCTGCGGGACGTGCTGCTGGCCGCCGGCTTCGAGCCCGAGCGGGAGGGCGAGTGGCACGTCTGCTTCGAAGGGCTGGACGCCGACGCCGGGGGGGCTCCTTACGGGGCTTCCATCCCGTACGGCCGCGCCGTCAGCCCGGCGGCCGACGTCCTGCTGGCCTACGAGATGAACGGGCAGGAGCTGCCCCGCGACCACGGCTTCCCCCTGCGGGTGGTGGTGCCGGGGGTGGTGGGCGCCCGTAGCGTCAAGTGGTTGGCCCGGGTGGCCGTCAGCCCGGAGGAGAGCCCCAGCCATTGGCAACGCAACGACTACAAGGGCTTCTCCCCCTGCGTGGATTGGGACACGGTGGATTTCTCAACGGCCCCCGCCATCCAGGAGCTACCGGTGCAGTCGGCCATCACCCAACCGCGGCCGGGAGCGGCGGTACCGGCCGGGGAGCTGACGGTGAAAGGCTACGCCTGGAGCGGGGGCGGGAGG